TGATAGGTTAATACGCTTGCCAGTTATATTGATCAACCAATCGATGTAAATGTCATATTAAAAAATCGCTATAAACGATAATGATTCGTTATGTTGAAGTTGATATGGAATAATTCATTTAAAAGGTGTGATGATTGCGTAGGAATCATCATGTTTAAGAATACGCTTGCTTCTTTAAATATTCCACATTCCGAATCACAACTAGGCAGCACCGTTTGTTAATTAATTAAAGACAAAATCAATTAAGGTTCTAAGTACTGTAAACACAAGTGTGCTCGCACAGTGAACATCAGCATTACAACTACAACTCGAGCAAAGGTACCTAAGTGTGTTAAAGTAACGTTGAGCCAAACTTAAGAGGAATGCATACGAACGTATTTGTTTTATTATTTACTTTACTACCAGCAATACTCCTTGCGAATCATCTACCTGATTACGATAACGACTACACGAGTAAAGATAAACGTTTTCCAGTTATAATGGTACGTAATGATCTCTGTTTTTATATATAACGTATCATTTTAATCTATTGTTACTATTATACAAATAATACAGTAAAAACAATGGAATACCTGTAATTTGCTAAAATATTATGTATCAAGTTAAGGTATTAGAACTTGCATTCGAAATGATAACATCAAAACTTAAAGCTTGTTTGACTTGATGCCTTTTTCAATCAATCTATGAAATGAAAATTGTATAAAAGAATATATGATAGATAATTGATTTAATAAAGTTTATTGTGATGACTTAATAACCAAGGCACATCTACTAAATTAGATAAATGATATTTTGTAATTGCTATGAAGATTGTTATATTTCTATTTAATTCTATATAATTCTATTTCACCTAATATTATTGAGCAACATGACTTAGGCCTACAGAGTTAAGTTCGTAATAATACTGACGGGTTTTTTTTCACTTTTTTTCGTCAACAGACATGTGATACAGATTTAGACTGTGAAACACAAAATATGGGCACTGCGTGTTGTGTAATAAGTAGGTATGGGCACTATAGAAATTGCGAGCCGCTGGGAGGAATTGGTGCAACGTGTAACATTAACAGCTTCCAACACCCTTGGTTCGGTCAACGCAACGGGCGAATATGTCCCTGTCAAGGTCACTTGAGGTGTATCCAGAAAACTTTGCGATTCGGTGTATGTGGAAACTGAAGCACGTACTCGAATAACATTGGTATGACAATCTCCTTTTTGCAGCTTCGACCAAGTTTTGATTTATTTTATTTCAACGATTGTGTAACGATTACCAGATACTGTGTTCTCATAACGGTTTTACAGTATCGTGAAAAACAAAAGCACGGAGGAACTATGATGATGGACCAATAACGAATACCATAATTTATTTATCAATAAAGAATACTACGCTGTTTACAGAGCAAAGCAGTAAATTATTTTGACAATTTTGATTGAGAAAGACATAAATAAAGATAGATGCATTAATCTGAGTATCATTCTGGTTAAATCCCGAAATTTAGTATATATATATATAGTATATAAAACTGAAATATGGCTTGGAAAAATATACGGTAACTTCATTTGAATACACCGTATCGACAACTTTTTCTAATACGTTCTGTTTTATTTAGTATTTATAATATTTATATTATATTTATTAGTACAATATTTAAGATTATCAAGGTGAGATGTGACTGGGGTGCTGGTTCGTCCTCTTTATCGCTGGTTCTCTTTCTTAATTTATATCATTCTGATTATTTGTTTTGCATGTGTACGACATTAATGTTGTTGTCGTTGATACGACGAAATATTCAACACTATTCTTGTGGATTAAGAACCACTATAGCATCTGTCTCTTATACACATCTAGATGTGTATAAGAGACAGGAGTTTTACTTTGGCTTGTGTTCTTATAGCGATATATTAAATATAAAACAAAGACACAGGCCTTGTTGAATTACGTTTCTGGGTATGACAGAGTAGAATTGTTTAGTACAATATTATTATATTAATAGAAAAAATACTAATAATAAGATAATAAATTGATGCAATATAACAGACTATTCAATTTCTAACGCTGGGTTATTCATTGTCTTTCAAATTAGGGTTAAAGGTTTATTGTCCTATGCACAATACCAAAAAAAAATCCCAAAAATCATTTTCCAAATTAACTTTCTTTATTTTGAAGTACTGTAACATAAAAATTATCAACTTGAACATAGAAATTAGCATATTTAAACATTTTTACCCATCAAAAAATGATAGAAACACTTCCAGTCACTGGAAGTGCTTTATTTATTTATTATTTTTTATTATAATCATCCAGTTTAAAAATCAGGGTACATATTTTTTAATTTCCAAAATTGCTATGCTCAAGTTAATAATGTGTATGTTACTGCAAAATGAGCAAGTTAATTCCAAAAATTATTTTGTATGTCTTATCTTACGTCTTTGTTATTTTCAAGGGACAATACATCTTTAAACAAATTTTACCAATTTCGTCGTACCTGTCTTTCCCAAATGTCGTTTCGGATCCGACGTGATGCAACGTTACCGAGTTTTCCTCCCCTCCCACTCTTTTATAGTATACAATACCTCGCTCATACGGTAGCACTGCTCGCACTAAACAGTTTTTAATCCCCAAAATATGACAGCTTTGTAAGGCATGCTTAAATTGTTGTTTCGGCGCTCGTGATTTGATATTTTCCCGACAAACTTTGCGGGAAGTTCTCAGACAAAGGGGGGGGGGGCCACGCGGGCTCCAGTGGTCCTGACGGGGGTCCTTTGCCCCCTGGACCCCCGCCTCTGTTTACAGCTTATAGCCGCTTGAATGTGTTTTGACGCTTGGCGCCATGATTGGCACCAATCTGTAAGTCCCAAATGGGTAAGATTCGGCCCGCGACAATTTTGTTAATTAAAATCAGTATATGTGCTTCCCACCTACCAATCCCCTTGTGGTTAAATTCCGACCGAAAATAAATTAAAAAAAACATTAAAATTTAGCATAACTCGTTATAAAAGATATGAAGGATTTGCAAGCATGTTGGAAACGTCAAATTTTATGGTTAAATCAAAAGAATAAATGTTTGCCTCCAACAAATTTTATGCCCATCCCTGATGATCTCGGTCGGCCTAGATTACGTCAGCATCAGAATCTTCTTTAAAATTAATAATCAAGTACAATATACAAACTTTATCCTCTGTCAGAATTGTGTAGATTGCCGACAACAAGGAATTAGTGACACTGGGTTTCTATCAGCATAAACATCAAGGCTCTCACACTTAAGGATAAAATTCTAATGCATAAATGTAATATTGCCTATAATAAAAAAAAAATACATGCAAATTTTCTAGCTCTCTCGCACTACACCAGGGTTAAGTTGGTTGCCTATTTTCGATCGTGGACGGCAGAAACATGCATTCTCAAGAAAAAAATGCGTGATTGTAAATACAACCATAAAAAATAGCAAAGAATGCGTTTCCGGGTATCTAGGGAAACATTCTGTCGGGGAGGGGCAAGAGTAGTGTAATGCCCCTGACACCCTTTGGGAGCGGTTTTTAGAACTTGACATGTATAATGTATCAGGAGTTTTTACGATAACCATCAATAACAAAATCATCATTAAATCACAAAGCAACTATATCATGGACGTCATTAATCGACAACATAATATCGTAAAACTATTTTGGCCACTTCGACTATTGCTTTCAATAAGAAGTATTTGCAAACAAATGCTTGTGTAAAATTCCGATTTCAAACGTTCGAAGCTTTACAGTCACAACTCTAGTTTTAGATTTCAAATTCTAAGCTAAAGTTTAATCCTGACAAAGTTATTCAGCACGTTTTAGTAGTTTTGCATATAATCGTCAAATGTGATCAGAATCGGCAAGCATATGGGTAGTATATTTTATCATCTATTTTGCCATATTATCTTCAACTTGCGTGAACATAAGTTGATGACATCTGCTCAGATCAAATAAATCTAATATTAATCGAATACACGTCAACCGTTTTTTTTAACAACCCAAAAACTTAAATAAGCTACTAGGGTACATTTTTTCGAGATGGACGACAGATAGTTTACATATTTATTCATTCCATCATGCGACAGCAAATCACTTGCCAGTTAAGGATGGAACAACCAATGCCTCTTAATGTATAAACTCACCGCATACACTGCCTTGGTTACAATAGCCCCCGACGCGTTTCCGTGAGGCCGCGCAACTGATCGTTTCCGCTCAGACTGGCAATGCGTGTCAATCACTGATCTCTACTATTATAGTGGAAATCAGTGGCTCAGATTGGCAATGCTTGCCAATCACTGATCTTTACTATTAGGCCAAAAAAATAAATTGTTTGTTTGCTCTTCTTTAAAAAAAAAGAAGATAAATAGGGACGGGTGGAATTATTGATTTATTTATTTTTAAGATACTCATCAGATGGAATAAAAATAACCCATATAGGCCAAGAATGGCAATATATACATCAGACAACAACTTTAGACCGATTTGTAGGGCATCTGGCAAAAAATAAAGATAAATTTACAGATTTTTTGAATCTGAAGAAAAAAGCTAAAAAAAACCAAACTTTTTGTAAGTCTTTTTGTTTTTCTGCCCCTATTTTTTCAGTGAGTTAGGGGTGGTGGTGGGGGGGGGAGGGCAAACTAATAATTTTTTTTGGCATTGTGGAGTTCAGTGGTGCTAATCATGAGAAAAAGATTTACACAATTTGAGCCCAGGAAACTGTGATTGATAAGCTGTAAAAAGGTGGTTATGCTTCTTTTCCCCCAATTTTTAAATATTTAAAAATCTGCATCTCATTTAATGTTTCCCAGGTTTTCGTTAATCAACTTTTTTCTGAAAAAAAAAAAAAATCGTTCTATAACATATCTAAAATTTGTTTTCCTCTGGAGCCTGACTTTAATAACTAGGGTTACAGATACACTTCAAATTATCTGTGGCAAATAGAGGTTCAGTTGATTTTAAATAAAATTATTACAAAAATATAACTAAGTACACACTGATTTCAGGTTTCTCTGCATAAATCATTTTAATCAATAATAATAATCTCATCCATACACCTCCGATTACTTCTTATATAATTTAATATACAATATCAATTTAGAAATCTCAAGAAATTTAATATTCTAAAATTTCTTGATATAATAGCACTTTAAAATTTCAGCCATCACCATTTTCACTTCACAAAAAATGTTCTTATTTAGAACCACTATAGCATCGCCCCACTCCCATATCCCCACCCACGTATGATCGCCCCACTCCCATATCCCCACCTACGTCATGCAAGTCCTGGCACCACCACTACAACATATTTCAACTTCCTACTTTGCAAATAACGTATATAAGTTTCTCTGAATAAATTACACATTTTTTTTTATAAAACTTAACTTCTCTCAATGACATGCCATTTTGTCATAACATTTGGAACTCTTAAAAATTCATTTTAGCACACTGAATTTATATTTACAAAGATCAAATAACTTATTAATTTTAACCTAAATATGTAAAATTATTGATATTTCCCCATGTTGTTACTCATCACTGATAGTGTATATTCAAATTCTGAAAATAATTAGACAATTATCACAAATTTTGATATGACTATTATAAGGCGATACAGATCCATCCTAACAATGGGCAGAATCCGCTTAGCTCCACCCCCTAGATATCGTTGCTAAGGGCCCACAAATGTACGCAAACAAATGCATTTTTGGGACAAGTGCAAATTAGTAGCCCTATTCTAATTGGTCAATTGTTATGTTTGACTTGCATTCTGGAAAGTTTAACAACTGTTTACAGTATAAATTAAAATAAAACTAATACATTTGCATTCTTGAAATATATGAGAGTATTAAAATCCATTGTAAAATTGCATAAATGTACAAAAAATAAATGAAAATAATCATATGTATGCACCATTTATGTAGCTTAAATGTTCTAAATCATTTTATTACGGAAGCATATAAATTAAAGAATAATAAAATACATTAATTAATTTGTATGCTTTTTCAGAGTTTCAGGTGAAAACTATTAAAGGAGCTTTCAACTGAGAACACAGGACGGATTCATTCGTCCGTGACAGTCATCATGCGCATTCTACTGTAAATCAAATTTTAAATTTATACGACACGTACATGGACACATCAGGAACAAGACTGACGTACCAATGTTAAAATACAGTACAATCCACGATATTGTCGCAAATCAAAGGCTCCCTATTACGTATTATTGACTTGAGTTCCGATTTCTTTTTTTACCAGGAACAATAACCAGGCTGTTTCCTCAGGCAGAAAGCAGCCTAGTTCAGCCATTTGATAAGCCCTTTAAATCCAAGCGTGAACAGCAGTACAAGTTAGGCATAGTAAACTTTCCTTCACCTTTGTCAAAATTAACCCAGTGTAATACAGCCTAAGTGAATTTATGATCTATGTTTTAACCTTAGAGTCACATAGTCTTCTTATATATGTTATACTATTTATTATAATTCTAGGAAGACCAATTAATGGATGAGTTCCTAGTTTCTAGGATATCTTAATTAGAGCATAATTAATGTATCTTTTTATCTGTATGTATTGGGATTTATATAGTACATCAAATACCGAGGTCTATGTACTAAATATTTTGTATATTTAATAGTCGATGAATAAGGATGCTTTTATTAGATCTGAATGTAAGTAAAGATAATATAACGATTTAAATTCCAAAGTCTTTTTTCTTTATTTGACAATACAATTGGTCTAAAAAATAAAAAAAAAGAATATAATTTAGAATATAATATGTATTTTTTTATATAAATCTTTACCCCATCAGGGAAAACCACTTATTGAGTTTTCTTAATTTTATTTTTATTTTGCTGAGCATAGTGATACTCATTTGCACTGGTTTCCAAGACGGTTTATTTTGCAGGAGATTCATGATTGCTTGCGGAAGTGCAGGAGGCCGTCCCGATTTCCGGGAGACTCCCGCGACTTCTAGGAGACTTGGAACCCCTTAAACATATTATGGCAAAGCCATCAGATCTAGAAATGCATTGATTCTTATATCTAGCCATTTTGCATTCTTTTGTTGAAGGCCCTGAACCCAAGCCTTGGGCAAAGACTGATACCCATACAGACATCCTAGTACAGCTCCGGCAACACAGGCATTACTGTTACTGTCTGCTCCATACATTATAATCTTACTCAATGCTGTCCTGTGAAGAAAAAAAAAACATTTTCACTCGCAAGAATTTTGTACAGTATTATATATTATATTGGATGATATTTATAATTTCAAAAACCAAAATAAATATTTATAAATTTAAAACTGCAAAAAGTTTTTTTAATATAATTGCCTTTTAAGAGAATATGGTGGCCTATTATTTATAAAGATAGGCCTATATATACAGTATATATTAAAAAAAATAAATTGACCATTGGACAAATTTGATTATGTAAAAAAATCAACATAATTAGATTGGATTTTCTTCTAAATTCTTAATATCTAAAATATTCTAAATATTTTATAGAATGTTGATATGAAGACTACTTGACTTACTTGAAGTCTAACTTGGATCGCAGAGCAACTAAGGTCACAGCAAGAGGTTTAAAGGTCAAACTCGGTTTGTTATTGTCACATGTCACAACTCTTGAAAAACAAATTATCAAAAGAATTTAACTTTTTTGAATAAATAATGTTTGGCTTTTCATGGTATACTCTTTTTATCTGTCTACTTTGTTGTCCTATCAATTAAAAACTGATCTGATATTATTTTGGTGTTTTCAATTTGATTCTCTGTTTTAAGTGAATGAATTGTGTAATATATGGCAATGTCATATACCAAAGCCATATATGGGTATTAAGATGTCATATCACACCCCTCTATAGGAAAAAATAAATAAAAACAGTTACACTATGTCCAAACCTCTTCTGATCCTCCACCAACAAATAAGTTATAAATACACATGCACATGCTTGATACAGCATTAATCAAAATTGAAGTGGGAGGTAAATTCTTGTATTACTTCTCCATAGTATTTAAATGTGATTTATAAAATTAACATAAAATATTTACAAAACTCTGAATTTATTTTCTACAGTACACAAGCTGATAAAATTGAAATTATAATTTGTTAGAAAGCATTATGAGTTAATTCTACTAATTTTATGGCTTACAAAATAAAAGTTGAAATAATAATCATGCAACTAACAATGGCAGATTCAAAGGGGGAGGGGAAAAGTCGGCCTGACACCACCCCCCTAAATTTTTCATAATTATAAAAACATGTAGAGAAATATTAATAAATTTCAGGTCTAAGAGTGCCATTTCCAGCCATCTAGAGGTACCATAATTATCCTCAGCCCCAACCACAGTAAGGCTGAGGTGGTCTACACTCTTCATCTGTGAAATTCCTTCCCTGTACCCCTCCCCACACCCCCTTCCATTTTGAATTCCTGAATCCACAACAGATCTCTATTCAACATAAGGGACATACCATGAATTATTTTTGCTGTGTTACCAGAAACCTGATTGCCCCAGCATTTTAAAGTTCTATCCAGATTATAAAATTTTCTTTGACAAAAAACTGTTGTATGCCCATATATAGTCATGATGTGCCTAAAGGTCATTTGACCATATTTAGGCATGACACATATTTCTATCAAATAATTTGATAGTCTGGACAAGGCTATAAATGAATAAGTATTTTTTTTATTTTTTTTTTTTTATAGTGGATGTGACTTTAGGTGTTTTCTCATGGCCATGGTGAAAAACATTATATAAATGTATTTATTCATGCTTTGTGAATAAAGTTTTACTGATACTGAGCAACAACCTCAAATAAATATAGTAATCCTATACACTGATTCACTTTTATACGTCACATGAAATTTAGACTACGGAACGAGATGTGTGAAGATATCAAAACCGAATCTGTCCAC